AGCTATATTCTGGAATAGAAAAAAATTCAAGCACATTTTTTCTTGTGGGGAGAAAAACATCAAAAATCCATAGCAACATGAGCTACAAGCTGCCTCTACCATTAAATATCTGCTTCTTTTTTTAAGGAAAGGAAGCCACCCTACTGATGCAAAGCTTGAACAAGCTGAATACACCAGAGGAGAAGCTGGACCTGTTATTTAAGAAGTATGCCGAGTTGGTTAGTATAGCATCTGTTCTTTTCTGGGCAAACTGTCTATACAGGAAGGCGTAAAAAAGATATGCCATGCAGCATGGTCAGTCTTCATTTAGTAGTAGAGTCTGTCCTGTAAAGTGTATCCACAAATAATTCTGAGGGTTAAATAATGAATTATATATGAGAAGGACAAAAAAGTAAAAGTAAGGAAGACAGGCTTGACTTTGGATTAAACCTGCAAAGGGAACTTGGAAAGCTGATGAGGCAGAATATCTGTAGTTCAAGGTAAACCTATGTAAATACTTCTGGGATAATGGAGCATAACTGAGGGCATGGATTCATCAATCAATCGAGAGACTACAGTTATAATAAAAAAACCTCTTTATTAAATCTGTTTATTCACCATTATTCTTAATATATTATTTTTCATAAGTTTATATATGTTTTTAATACTCTGAGTATAATTTCCTTTTTCAGGGATTTCTAAATCTCTCTCCCTTCTTCAAGGAGAGAGTATTTCTCCTGTTATACAAACTGCTTTCATTAACAGATTATCCATGATTATTTTACACCAAATTCTCATCTCATGTATCCCCAGTGCATTCACTGGTGTTCATATAATCCCAGTTCTTGAAATAATAGGTATTGGAATAGGCCAACAACCTTTTAAACAGTGGTTATTTTAAGTAAGATATCCCGTTAGATAAGTTAAATAAGGTACACACAGAAAGCCTTTTCACTATTAGCATCTTTTCAAAAGAGCGTGATTCTCTTTTTTTCTTGCATCATACGTCATTCTCAACAGCCAAACCAAGCAGGTAATGCAAACTCTTCAACAGTGGTTCACACTGTACACATATACATTATTGCATAAAACTAAGCAGTGGAGAATCAGATCCTGTTATTGCAATCTAGGATCTCACACTTACAGTGAGCTCCTGGCAAAGGTGAACCCCCCTGATCATCCAAACCACCTTCATCCTGGCCCACACGCTGACTCTCGTCTGGAGTAAATCCACTGGCTCAGCAGGCGTTGGGACCTTGAAGGAAGGTGTTTTCAGACATTTTCTCTGCAGACAATGCGGGTGCAACAAACTTGAGTCTTATAGCACAGCATTCAAGCCAACACTCAGGCATGGTTAGCTTGTATGGACAGCTAATAAAGACAGGATAGATGCAGCCTTTCCATAGCATTTTCTAAAGCACAACTCTCAAGAATGCCAGAGAACCCAAACTCTGTACTTGTGTCATTCATCCTTCCCGACTCTGAGAGCTGCAGCCATGCCCCTGTTTAAAGAGACCACTACTCTTCAGAAAAACCATATTGGAAGAAGAATGTTGTAAAGGTAAGAATTACAGTAATATCATCAAAGCCTTTAATACGGTTGGAGAAGACAGCAGGTCAAGTTTGTGCCTTAAACTGTTCTCAAATAGAGAGGAAAACAATAGAAATTAATAGCATGTAATTTGTAAATGGGGCTGCCTTGGGCTTTCACAGTTCCTTCACTGTTTGCTTCCTTAAGCAGGTTAAGAAAAATGGAGTTGTGAAGAGGTTCTGCACAAGCCAATTCAGAGAGGAAATGAGTGGAATCTCTACTTTCAGAAAGTAGTTTGATGCTCCATAGCTGCTAAGGATGGCTGCACTCTTTTCCTTCTGCAAGAAGTGTTAAATGTCTCTGTATTTGTGTCTGTTGATTTAAAACACATATCAGTAATTTAACCAGAATAAAAATAATATGATGTTTAGTATAAAATGTTGGGCAGTAGAAAATCAGAAAATAGAGAACTGAGACTAGTCATGAGAGAAACGCAAACATAGTGAAATAAGCAGTCAAAGCCCCTACAACCATAAAGTTGTGCCTATAGCCACGCCAGCTACCTGACTCTCCCTTCTCTGTTCTTTCCACACTTTTTAAGATGGAATATTTTCAGATCAAGGACTTTCTTCTAAGCAGTTAAAGGGCTATATGGCCATAATTTGTACAAATCTTACATATGAAAAGACTGCAGTATTTTTGCAGTTTGTGGAGTACTGAAAAATGCGTGAGCAGAACATTGACTTTATAATTGGTTTTATGCACGGATCTGTCCATGTCTCATCATAGTACTAAACTCAGCTTTCTTTTTTTCCTGTAAAGTTCTCTAATTTTATAAATTGATCTCTGGCAATTTGTACTTTAGCCCACACTTAAAGGGACTTCATGCCCACAGATTAACTAAAATAGAGCTTCTTCTTTTTTAATGTACTCTCCACTGCATTCAAGTATTGTCAAGAATAGTGCATAAAACATGGCCTGTACTGCCAGTAACCCATGCAGGAGAAAGCTGCTGAAAGAAGAACATGAGGTATTCTGCTTTGTCAGCCTGTGTAATGTCACAAAAATAAATCAGTTAATAAATATAACTAAAAGCTTGTTGGAAAAACACTTACACTGCTCCCTCAATGTGGCTGAGGGGTGTAGTGTGATTAATAGCTTGTCAGCAGCTAATTGTAGCAGTTGCCACTCTGCCTGCACCCTCTTGCCCATCCTAATTGTACACTTCAGGCCACTTTTTGCTTTTACTGAGTTATTTTCCAGCCAGATCAGCTCTCTGCTCTGGTTAGCCACGTGCCTGCATGGGTACTTGGTCTAGCACAGCTCAGGGGATGGTGCAACTATGTGCCCAGCTGAGAGGGGTGCTGGCAATGGCTTCAGCTGGATTAAACAGTAGTGCTGTTAGCTGTGGCTTCAGAGGCTACCTCTAAATAGGGTCCTATGCAAAGCCCAGATTTTTGCACAGTCACCTAGCTATACGCTGTTTAACGGTTAGGCCTGGTGCGGTCTATAGCAATGAGCACACCAGAAAACGCCTGAGAAGGCATCAGAGAACAGCATGGGCTATATTCCCTAATAGTCTGTGTGAATGAGGCTATGCCCTACGGGGAGAGGGGAGGAAGCGAGTTTAGGCATTTGGACGCAAGCCGTGCCACACTACTCACCATCAGAGAACGTTTTATTCGCTAGTACTGATGTAGCCAGAGTGACTGGGGTTAGCAAAGCAGACTGTACTTTATTTTAGCTTTTGCCTACAAACCCCCGTTGCATAATCCCTTGAGACTGGCTTAGTTTCAGAGGACCTATGAGGGTCTTGTGAGCTCTGAGTGCAAGAACTATACAATAGTAAATAAATGTGAATATTGTCATTGCCTGCAGTGGGCTCAAGATAAAACTTTTTTCCTAAATTGAGAATATCTTTCTCTTGGCCAGCCTGCAAAAATAAGGATTCCTTCTATTTGTAGTTAATTTTAGCTAATGTATCATTAATTGTTTCTCATAATTTACCCTTGAGGACCATTTTGTCATTCCTATTTACCAGTGAATTCCTTTCTTCAATGCAAAAGTAACATCTTAGATAGTCCTGTGAACTTTCAAATGCAAGTTTCTAGAGCAAGTCATTTTTAAGAAAAAAAAAGAGTAAAAAATGCTTGGAAGACTTTTCACATCATGATTAAGACTTATTTCATTCTCAGCCTGCTATCTCCAGCACAGCTTGAGTGAATCATCTAAAATTTGGACACAGCATTATCTGCTAAGCACAGGCTGCGCATGCAAAATGTGAAGCAGAAAGAACCTTTTTTGTGTTCTTAAAAGGGAAGGGGAAGGGACCAAAATCAAGTTTATAAAGGAAAACAAATTTCAGCA